AAATATGTTGTCTTGTGAAGAAAAAACATGCCGCCGGGGGGGGGGGGGATCCAAGCTTCCATGTGCATCATGTAGTCATATTTTGAAAAAATAGATTTAAAACATTCTAAACCTGATTCAAATATGTTTTTCCCCTTGTGCATACCCATATTTTTCTGTGTATAAGACACCCCCATGTATAAGACACCCCCCTTTTCTAAATTAAGAAATCTAAGTAGGACTTAGCAAGTATAGGGGGAAAGGGATCAAAGTGCTGCAGGATCGCTTTGATCTCTGCTTTCCCCTCCACTGGTTTTTGTTCTCAGCTTATTTCCGTGTATAAGATGACCCTCAATTTTTAGTCTAATACATGGAGAAACACGGTATATATTTGTTACTAATGAGGCCACATTCACACGAAGCAAATGTCCCACACTTTCAATGAAACATTCTGTACCTTTGTTGTAGTGCATCATAGTCACGTGGTGTGTGTCTGTGTGTATGTATAAGTTTCATTTTTTAACTAGTATATGGATATGTCAGCTACTGTTTCATGATGGGTGTACTTTCCTCTGTTGCACTGGTGCCTCTGAAAGCAATGCATTGTACTCAATGGAACAGGCACCCATTCCCAGGGCTGTCCCACTTCCCAGACAGTAGGTGGAATGATCCGTGCCCAGATTGTGCTTTAAAAACGTTAACATCTGTTTACCAACACACTGGTACTCCGACCATGTAAAAATAATTTTAAAAAATTGCACAGATCTCAGCTTGGCAGTAAAGGGGGCTGCCTTCCCTGGTGACTTTACTTTGGAAAAGTATCAATAGGATCATTCACATATGCCATACTGTTAAGGAATATATCGAAATGCCATCGAAACAAAAATAACAGAAGCCTCTGGGCAAGTGGGAATGGACCTCAGTTACAATGCTGGCCAAGTAAATTATTCAGTAATTGTGCACTGTGCATTGTGTGACTGCAAATTTAAGCTATGCTCTAACCATTTCTGTCATGTGATTGTGCCTTTAAATGCCCTGAAAAAGGACTACATCCAAAATACACTGGGACAGTAACATATTCTTTCCTTCAGCATCTGATGTTAAATTATAAGTACAAAAGTGTCT